TTTTAATTTTTTTTTTTTTTTTTTTTTTTTTTTTTGGGTATGAAGCTGATTGAAAAAGGCGTAAACTCTGTGAGACATCCTGAACCTCAGAAATGAGCTTTCGGACATCTCACAAATCAAATTTTCTAATGTATAAGTCAGAAATATTGAAAAAATTGAAACCTGCCATGTGTTGCTCCTCCAAGAGTGCAGGCGCTGTCCAAATTCAGAGATGAAAAGTTGCATAATATTTGGAACTTGAAATAAGTTCTTTACGAAATTTTTTTCTTACAGGTTTATTGATGTCTCCCCACTGAATGGCTAATAATATTCAATAAACAATTAACATCCAAATATTTTTCCTCTCCAAAATGAAAAATCAGTTATGAAAGAAGCGGTTGGCAGCCTTTTTCTTTTCAGCGTGTTTGTGACCTATATCTGTATCTTTTCATGCAGGTCTTTATCATCTTTTCCGCCATAGTCTCTTTACTGCTTGAAGTTCTTGTACTAAGACTACATAGAGGTATGCACCATTCTTGCTCACCAAATGTGATGTATTAAGTATCTGTGGAAGGTCTATACGAAGAAATTGAATTGAAACGAAAAAGAAATTTTGGTATGTTTAGTGATACTTTTATCTCTCTTCTCTGGGTTGGTGATGCCTGTTTGGCCTTTTTCCTTCTAAAATGACCTGATGAACTGTCCACCTCTTCTTTATTTTATTATTATTTTAATTAAGCGAAACTTGTTATGAATGAAGGGTTGATTATAATCTGTTAGTGGTTGAGAGTACAATTCCCATAGCCTGTGAAATTGAAGTTCGTTATGACATGGAAACTTACAAAGTTATTTGGAGTTTGCTTCTTTCTTCTTGCATCCAAATTATTATCCTTATTGCAAAGTTAGCACTGAATCCCGATAGGGATTTTTACAGAATGAACCTCACTTGCAGGCTGCATCAGCGGGTCTAGCTGTTAATAGTCTGACTTGTTTGGTGAAACGGAGTTTGTGTTACGTACTCTCTCTTGCTATAGAGATATGATGAAATATGAATTGATTTATTTTTGGTTGTTGTGTGATAGCTGTAACATACGTTTACTCCCTCCATCCTTTAAAGATAAGTTTGCTTTCTTTTTTAGTATGTCCCAAATTATAGGCCACTTTCGAGTATAGTTTATTTAAGCCATTATTTAATGTAGGGGTATATTTATAAAAATGTAAGTAAAAATTTATATTTCCAACTATATTAATTATTTTTTTCTTAATCTGTTTGAAAATGGAAGTGAGCCTATCTTTATGGGATGGAGGGAGTTGAGATCGGGAAATGTTTCTAAAATAGATTGCACCCAAGTTTAGTGTATTGAATAATATCATAAATTTATTTCTTTTTCCTTGATATCTTTAGTTTCTCCTTTTTTACTGTATGGTAGTACGGTTTCGTCAATGATGTGTATAAAAATATGTTTTTATTCAACATTAACTCCAGTATTTTTAGGGAGTAGTGCTGTTCTTAGTCAACGACTGCAGTAGTTATCATATGTATTAGTTTGTTAATGAAGCATTATTATTTGAGGCAACAAAATTACAAAAAATTAATGCTTCAAATAACAAGGTTCCACATAGCTGATCACTACAGTCGTACAAATAGCATTATTCATTTTTAGGTGATTTCCAACAAACAAATCAATCGATTTGGTTGCTGAGTTCAAGGGATTCGTGTATTACATTACCCGATCTCCTAGTTAGATTATTTCCTGGTTAGTTAGTTAGTTGCTATTTTTGGGGAGATTTGATAGGCTGTTATTCCCTAATTAATAGATGGATTTCTCATCTATAGAAGGGGTTGTACACAAATTAATTTTGAGTGTGGGATAACAGTTCTTTTCTTCACAATTTCCAGAGTGTGGAGTAGTCTATCGGATATATAATTTACCTGTTGTACATGTTATTTGATTAACGGCCTCAGTCTGTATTCTAATCCGTTATCTTTATTATTCTAACAGATCCTTCTATGAAGATAATGACGTCTGGACCCTATGGTCTTATATTTTCATCGTTTGTACCCTTCTATTTTGACATTCCAGTTTCAACACGATTTCGTGTGCTTGGGTTTCAGTTCTCGAACAAGACTTTTACTTATTTAGCCGGTCTTCAGGTAATGCCTATCAAGTGTGGCCATCACCTTTTTCAACAAATTTCTATTATCGTCTTCTCCTTCTCGAATTTCTTTCTCTTTACTCTTTTTTCTCAACTCATTTCTATATCTTGCAGCTTCTTTTGTCATCCTGGAAAAGATCTATGTTACCAGGGATCTGTGGTATACTTGCAGGTTTACTGTACCGCTTAAACATCTTTCATATCCGCCGGCTGAAGGTTGTAACTAATCCCTTATCTTTACTTCTTTATAAATGGTTTGGCTCGGCTTGTTTGATGCTAGGAAGATGTAAGACATGCTTTAACAAAGTAGCATGATAGCTGTTTTCATTGTTTCTTCTTGAAATATAGTTGATGAACTGCTCCAAGTTTCTAGATTTGTGGGTTAATCGCTTGACTTGTGTTTACCATCAAATATTTAATGGTGCTAATAACCTACACAAGCATTAGCTTATAGGCTAGTTTATTTCCTTTTGCTAGGAAAAATGCATACCCTTTTTGGTTAAAAACCCTATAGTTACCTAATTTTTAGCATGCTTTCACTTTAGTCGCTGAACTCTATTCCACATTGGCAGAAATATTGACCTGGCTGATAAGAAAAAATGAAAGTTCAGCAGCTAATTTGGAACAAAAGAAGTTCGGTGACTAAATGATGAAACGCTATAAGTTGGACAACAAACGATGTTTTTGACCCATAACGTTTTACAGACTTCATTTCTTAATGTCTCTTATAACACTGTTGACTTGATGTGTTGTGGTTAAAAGCAAATACTTTATCATCCATTTTTCTGTTGTCTGCATAACATTTTGACAAGATGTTATTCAAGCTAAGCAACCTATACATCTTGATGCATTTCAGTTATTTTGTACTGAGGATGTTACTCGGGATCTCGAATTATTTTGCGGAGCATAGCTGCTTATTGATGTAGATGATTTTTAAGTCTTCAGTTATTTGTTGCATTCATTTTGTTGATTTTTTTTCATATAGTTGCATATAAAGCACTGTCCCCAGGATTTCGCTGGTTACTTGCGGTTGTTTTTGCCAAATCTGTGATATTTCCTAAAGTTATCCATGACTTCATCTTTTCTATTTTCAGTTCCCAAACTTCATTGCTTCATTCTTCTCACGGCTGTCTTGGCCTTCCATGGGGAGTGCATCACCAACAGGACGGGGTAGGAATGTTGTGGGAAATGCTCCAACATATGCAGGTCTACAAGTGGAGGCAAGTATTACTTTGGAGAATATTTCGAAATGACTTTACAATGTGCATGGGGAAAAATAGATTTTTATTTTATTTATTTTTGTTTAGAAGTCTTCTTTTCATGGAAAATGTCTTAAACATCTTTACTGTGAAAGCCATTCTTATCTTTCGTTTAAATTAGTCAAATGGACTTCAACTTGGTCAAAATCACACCTCATTTTTCTCCGACAGTGGGCGAGAGAGAAAGGACTTGTTTAAAACCCACCATGTAGTCTGGTTTTTTCCCATTCCTGGAGACGGGAGAAGTAGAGAGCATGGACTTAGCTCCCAGAATAAGAGGACTAGTTGATTTTTTTCGAGGGGTGTGGGGGACGGCTTGGAATGCGTGGGGGGTTCAACAGTGTTTGTGCTCTCTTGCAATTGCCCTTGTGTATGTATTGACCAATGTTATTAAAATGGGATCAGGAAAAATTGTGCAACAAATTCATTTAAGGATACATATAGTTACAAATATAGCTTTATAGCCCGTTCTTTAATGAGAATTGCATAGTAATAGGCAGTATTGAAGTAGTAAACTAAGTAGAACAATTGTTGATTATACTGTCCAATCTCGTCTAGTAGTGCACCCTTCTGTTTCTATTCTTAACCATGCATATATGTTGAGGGTAGTGTTAAATTTAGTTACTAGCACCATTATTTCTTTATTTCTATGGCCTTTTTTTGCTCTCTTTGCTTGCTTCAAAAAGTCTTCCTCCTCCTTTGGCTCTAGGGAACCTATCCTGCTCGATCGTCATCCACAGTCAACCCGCCTGAGGACTCAATTGCCACACTGGTTTCAATGGGTTTCGACAGAAACTTGGCGAGACAAGCTCTCATTCACGCCAGAAACGATATTAATGCTGCTACTAACATTCTGCTCGAGTCACAGACGCACTGAGGGGGTCGTAAATTTGCTTTGGGGAATGAAACCTGGACTCAAATTGGTTGAGGTAGTCAGCAATCAGGCATCGATTGTTGCTCCAGTCGGAATTTCTGTGCTCCAGAAATCATCAAGGCCCTCTGTATTTTTGTTCCCTTATGTCACAATTATCAAGTGAAGGCAGTAAAAAAAGTATTTGTAAGTTTACTATTTTAAAAGTTTAGAAATCTGGGATTGTGTAAACCGTGGATGCCCTTTTCCTGAGGTATTTAGATGTGGATAATTCTTTCAAATGCACCAACTGCTAATTTTGGAATTTCAAGCTGTGAATTGTTAAAATTTTAAGCAGTACACAAACGAAAATCGAACGGCAGCAACTAATAAATTTACTAAATAAACTTTGGAAATTCGTAACAACTAACTAGAATTTGTCATCAGCCAACTTTAATTGAAAAGGAAATGAGGTGCATTACCAGCTTAGATTATTATTATTATTATTATTATTATTATTATTATTATTATTATTATTATTGCGATCCTTGATGCCTCCATTTTCAAGATACTCTATTTATTTATTAAATTTTTTTCTGCACTCCAACTTTACGTTTGACTTTGGTTTTTCAATGAAGCCTCATTATTTTCCACCATTTTTTATTTAACAATTTTTTAGATGCTAATGATCAATAAAGTTACCTATAGTTTGAATAATCGGAGAAGTAATGCATCGAAATATGAGTTCTCCTCTCTTTTTTTTTTTTTTGGGAAAATATATTTTGAAATAATTTTTTTTCAGGGATTTTTTTTTTTTTTTTAGAAAATTATTATAGAATTATTGAACACTAAGAGGAAGAGAAGACGCACTTTTTGAAACACTTCCCCCAATCATACATGGCTGGAACCATAGTATTTAACAAAAGAAATTCTAGCCAACTTTTAGTCAACAACTTCTACCTGCTCCACCTTATTTCTTTTACAGCATGCCCGATCCTTTACAAGACCATACTTGACAGATTTTTCATTACATAAAGTCCATAACTTGGACTGAAAATAAGTACTACAAAAATACTAGACTTTTGACTACAAAAGTGTCAATTTAATATCAATAGTTACATATAAAATAAGTTTTTTAATTTGTATTATAACTGCAAATTAAAACAAAAAACTGCAATATTAATTTTGAAAGTTTTAAGACTATGATGTTAAAAAAATAATGACTGCAAAAATCTGAATTTGAGTGAATTATAAGAGCAGATATTTTTATCTGGAATAATCCAAAGTAGGTCATAATGTGACCAAACTAGCTGGTTCAGTATGATGCCAGTTAAAATTCATTGGCTTCTAGGTTTTAGAATCAAGAATCGGATGATCTTGCCTCAGTTGTAGGTTCTAGCTACGAATTGAGTTATAGAATTATCGTTTTATAATCAGTGATCATCACTCAGTTAACTCATAAATTGTAAAATTATTTAAAATGCATTCTTAGTCACCTAAAACCATGTATATCCAGATCATCTCATCAAGGTTATAGCCGTACAACATTAATGGAAATATTTATGAAGGGATGAAGTTTAGTGATGGCCATTTTAGGCTTACCTGATTAAGTTAATTTCTTGCAGCCTAAATTCCCCAACTTGGAGGAGTTGGATATTGGTGGATTGGGCATTACCATAAAAATACTGTATGAGGCGAGACAAATCAGATCTCTTCACAAACTAAGAAAATTATCGGTGGAACATTTGAATGATGTGCATATACTATTCGACTTTGATGGTCCAACGGTTACTGAAGGTCGTGTGGAAAGTTTACTTGGTCGGTTAAAGTCGTTGAAGATGTTAAACCTACCTAAATTAGTGTACATCACAATGAAGGTTCCTAAAGGAATTTGTGTCTTCAAGAATTTGACATCGCTTGATGTTGGAAAATGTGGCAGCTTAAGGTACTTATTTTCGCCTTCAATGGCCAATTCACTTGTGGCTCTAGAGAGTCTAGAAGTCGTAGATTGTGAAGCAATTGAAGAGATAGTTGGAGGAGGAAGAGGAGGAGAAGAAGAAGAAGGAACTTCAGAAATTGAAATGGTTGAAGAAAGAATGGCGAATAAAATTGTGTTTCCTAACTTGTACAGTCTACAATTCAAAAATCTTGAAAGATTCAGAACGTTTACCTCTCAAAACTATAAAATTGTGTTCCCTTCACTAGAAAAACTGGAAATTCGACACTGCCCTGTGATGACAAAATTTTGGTTACAACAGAAAATGATAACAGCGAAGGAGTTGAGCATATCCTGGGATGGGAAGATGTAGTGTCAATAGCTTATACTTTGTAATTTGAATTTGAGTAGAGCCAATAGAATAGCAGTAAGTTGCATATGTTGTATTTTTTTAAGTGAGACGATGTAAATATTATTGAGGGCCTGTTTGAGGCCCATATTTGGTTAAGAATGTATTTTGGAATAGTAGATTATTAGAGAATGTGTAATTAAAAAATAAAGAAAAGTTTTGAATTTTCTTGTAATATTTTTTTATTGAAGAACGTGTGAGAGGTAAACATATTTTGGAATCGTAAAGGGCTTTTATGGGAAATGAAAGGAGCAGCTTACTGATGACAAAAACTAAATTTCATTTAACGATGAAAATTATATTGGTAAACTATATGTTTTTTTCGAAACTTATTAATGACAAAAAAAAAACTTTATCGTTAATGTTGAATTATTATCTTTATTGTTATTTTGTTACTTGCATATTTTTTCAATGATAAGTTTTGTATGTTTTAATTTTTATTACTTGTTAGCTTCACAATTTTCATTGATAAATTAAATATGATATAAGTTCTCAAAATTTTGGACCTTATCAAAACACGAGACGAGGACTTTGGCGAAGTCGTCACTTGTCTGCTTATTAAAAAGATAGGACATCAAAAGTTGGAAAGATTATATGCATTGAAATGTTATTGAAAGATAAACTGGATAAGTTGATATCCTCCTATGAAGCCACTGATACATTACTAATTATTCGTATTATTTTCAAACGCCTTTCATTATTCCAATATTCAAAAGCAATATTGGCCAAAACGGTCCATTGAAACAACTGCTTTCGTTTCAAAAAAATTATCTCGATATAGTAATCACATACCTCATCAAGAAAAAGGAAGATTATTCATTAGAAGGTGGTTTCTCACTAAATGCAGACATCTTGGGAACTAGTCTTTTGTCTATTCAACATATATCTAAAAAAAAAAAAAAAAAAAAAGGAGAACTCCTTGCAGATAGAATCAACAAAGATGATAGGGAAGAGAGGATGGGGAGAAGGTAAACATACCAGTTCAACAGCGAGCGCCTGCAAATACCAAACACACCCCAATAAAATGTTAATAACATTGGCCATTGTGTAAAAGAAATGGCTGAAGAAAATAGCCCCAGAAGAGAGACAAGACAATTCCATGGTACATTTTCCACAACCTTAATACATAACAAAAATGTAAAGAGCAAAAACATTTAGAGGAAAGCTTGAACAACATTAACATAGTGCAATGTGGCATACAGTGAGAAACCTAGAGCCCACCAGTGTTTGGACCACTCCCCCCAACTCTCAAAAAGTAAAACCTAAAGGAAAATATAAATAGAATAAAGAAGGGGTCTGTGCATTCATTTATAGAATAAAATAAACTAAGAACAAAGGAAAAAGTCGGTGAACGAGGTCAGGAGAAAGAATTAGCCTACCATCAGGACTCCCTTAATCAGGTCACACAAAGGAACTTCCCAGAGATGTCATCCTTGATGCTATTGAGGCAGTGCAAAGACTTACAATAAAAATAAGCTACAATTTAAAACAATGAATACATATTAACAGGTCTAAAATTAAAATATTTGCATTGGGAAGCAGCGATATAATTTGCTTGACTGCAAGGTGGAAAGCAACCAAAGTATCTTACATGCATGAAATGACCATCCTTAGCAATGCCAGCATAAATCACCAGAAACCGCTCATAGACTTTCAATTACTGCTTTCCATGACATCCAACAGATATCCATGCTCACATAAACGTTCAGTCAAAGAATCTAGTCCAGCATAAATAAAGTACTCTTCAGGATGAGCCCGATCACCGGTAACAAAAACATGCAAGCCATTGTTCAATTCAATCCAGCTGCAACCAGGTCTCTTACTCACATCTTGTTGCCTCATTGCATGTCTCACTTCCGCCACCTCTTCAAATCGACCAGCTGCTCCAAAAATATTCGACATCAAAACATAACTTCCACAATGCTCTGGTTCAAGCTCAAGTACCCTCTGTGCAGCAACCTCGGCCAAATTAGCATTCCCATGAAGCCGACATGCAGACAAGAATGCCCTCCACACTATTGGATTAACAGGAACTGTCATTTTGGACAACAACTGATAAGCCTCCTCAAGCTGCCCAGCCCGACCAAGCATGTCAATCACACAAGAATAATGTTCAATAGTTGGAATGACACCGTATTGAGGTTGCATTTGTGCAAGCAATTCTCTACCCTCGCTTACAAATCCTGCATGGCTGCAAGCTGACAAAACCCCTACAAATGAGACCTCATCAGGCTTCAACCCTGCCTTGCACATACGAAAAAATAAATCTAGTGCCTTGTTGCCAAACCCATGCATTCCATAGCCCATAACCATAATGTTCCATGAGGCCACATCCCTACATCTCATTGTATCAAAAACTAAGTGGGCTTCCCTCATACTGCCACATTTTGCATACATATCCATTATAGCATTGTCAATATATGTACCTCCATCCTTTCCCAACCCATTAATAATCATGTACCCATGAATTTCCCTACCATGCATCAATGCGGCCAAATTTGAGCATGCAGGAAGTACAGCAGTAACACTCACCAAATCTGGCCAAACCCCAGCACGAAACATCCTCTTGAAAAGACTCAAAGTTCTCTCATGATCACCGCATTGTTCATGGACACTTATAATTGAGTTCCATGAATATATATCCTTTTCAATCATGTCCTCAAAAATCTTCAATGCGTCCATCTTGAGCCTACATTTCCCATACATATCAATTAAAGCATTTAAAACAGCAATACCACAATCATACCGCAGTTTTATCACAAACCCATGAATTAACTTACCGTTGTAAACATCCCCAGCAAGAGACAATGCTGATAATGCTCCTGTAATGGTAAATCTATTAGGAATGATTCTAAATTCACCCATCCTCCTAAAAATCTCCAAAGCATTATTGAACTCCCCAATCTGCATATACCCATTGATCATAGCATTCCAAAGCACAGCATCATCTCTGTTGGGCAATTCCTCAAACACTTCTAGTGCCTCATTAACTAAATCAAACTTCAAGTAGCAATGCACTAATGCACTACCAATGAACAAATCAAATTCTAATCCAAGTTTAAACAACAGACCATGAATCTTTTCCAAACTTACAGTATCTGGACAAGCCTTAACCGCACATGGGAAAGTAAACTTATCAGGTTCTATACCAATTAACCGCATTTTATAATAAAACTCAAAAGCCTCATTCGCCATGTCATTAACAGTAAAACCTGCAATAATTGCGTTATAAACGAACACATTGTGAATACCGGTTGATGCATGAAAAACACATAAAGCATCAGCAATGGAGTCACTCTTGGAGTACATATTGATAAGGCTAGTTGCAGAAACAGGAGACTCAAGATTGCCATTAACAATCATGTGGGAGTGGAGTTTTCTGCCTCCTGAAAGGTCCTGTCTTTGGGCACATGATTGAAGTGATGCAATGCAAGATGGGAGGTCCAGGGGCAGGGTGCGAGTTTGTGTTGGCTTGGACGAGAAATTAAGAGAAAATCGGTAATTTGTTCTGAACAACCGCGCCGGATGGATGGTTCTGTGCATTAAATTGAAATAGAATTGAACAGAACAGAACAGAAACAACCTGTAAACATTCAGGCAAATTTGGAGTGGCGGTAAACACACGAGGCCAAATGATATTTTCTTACTCGCTAATGTTTTTAGGAGTAGAAAAGTAAATGCCGCGTGCTAAATGCATATTGCCGGAGATTCTTGTGAAGCGGTGGCGCGCTAGCCGCTGGAGAAGAATATGCTTAATTTTTTTCTCTCACATTTTTCCCTTCATTTTATAGATTTTTCTCTTTTTACTCATTTAAGGGCAAAAATAATTAGACCTGCTAAATAGTCAAAGATTGAGACAATAATGTGTGCAATTTTATTTTATTTTTTTACCTGTCTTCGAATATCCTTTTTATCTCTTTACAAAACTTTGTCAACTTTTCAAACAATTATATTTCATCTCTATATTCAACGCCAATCTAGAAGATCGACTTATGATCATTGAGATCTCGCTAGTAAACAATATCCAGATAACGTTTCTGTTTTATACTTATGTTAGCGTGTGTTTAGCCCCCCAATTTTTTTTTCCAATTTTTCCTCCAAAACTCATTCTATTACAGTAATTGCTGACAGCATGCGGTGAAACTTTAGAAGAAATGTCAGGAGCATAATACCGTTGAAAATTGATGGACAATTTCAATCCCAAAAACAATTGTATAATTTACATCCTTCCCCTCCCTTCTTGAAATCCACTTGCCACCAATTGAAAGGCAGATTTGACAAGGAAGAAATTCCAAATATATCTTACAGCTTTTGTCAGAAAACCTGTCTCTTTTGTCTACCCTATGGCCCACACCCGTTGAAAAATGTGGTGGAAAATGAGATGAGAATGAGAATAGAATGGGAATCAAACATACGCTTAATTTGAAAATTCCAACAAAAATTCTTAACTAAACCTTAATGTGAATTCCCAAACTGAAACCAGTTACTGTAAATCCATACAACAGTACTAGCACTGCTGCATTCTTATCCATACAAATAACAAAATTTCGTACGTGTACGATGTCAAAATCATATGCAGATTTCAGTATTGTCGAGCAAGTTCAGACAATGAAGTGTAAGTCCCTAAAACTGCACTGACGGTGCCCAAAGCGACAATAGCAACACTCAGAATCACCTGATGCATAGATGCATAAACAGAGAAGATTTTAGTATGATGGACTGAGAAAATCGAGCTTCTAAGAACAGCAATATCTCAACGAGCAAGTAATTCTACGAGTGAAATCTTGATAACTTATAATATTTTCTCATTATTGTTGTAAACATCCATATCATCATAGAAAAATTATGTTAGATAACATGTCGATTACCTGCACTCCTGTAGCGTTCTTCCCCACGATTTTTAAAAAGCATAAAGCCGGCATTATTACAGCCTATATCAAGTAAACGCGTAGGATATATATCAGATCCCATCTCATCTCATCCCATGAATATGCATCAGTGACATCTAGTAAATGATGAAGGAAACTATACATATGGAAGATCCCACATACCATAAGAACGCTAAAAAGAGAGCCGATTAGAGACATCACAAGACCTGCAAATAGAAGATAAAAGTTGAGTTCGATTAGTTGGAACGATAATTTTGGAAGGCTTAAAAACAGTGAAGAGAAGAATCGCAAGAATTTACGTGGTATTACAATGGGCAAGAACATAAGAAATGTACATCACTTCTGATCGTTTATCTTGAATCTGTAACCTTCGTCTAATTGAAATTATCTCCACCTAACCCAATCTTCGACAATTGTGGTTCAAGATAAGATATAAATCCTTAAAAAAATAGAAATCAATATGACTAAAGAATTTGGCCCAATGACAACTCTAATATCAGGTCTCCATATACAACAATGTCCAAATATTCTCTCAAATGACTAAGTTTTCTGCACTGCAATCCTAATGATACCCAATTTTCTATTAGATTCTATACTTAAAAGCCAATATTCAATTCAGATATTAGAGTTTGAATCAGGGACACGTAAACCATAATTAAATAACTCAGCATGAAAGCTAGTAGACAAATGTGTTATAATTTTATGCCTCCAAAAAATCGTGAAACTAAAACAGACTGCATTCCATGGCTTACCAAAAAAGGGAATCACAAATGCAATGAATAGAGAAGAAAAAACAAGAGCCGTCCGTAGAAGAATGAAACACCAAAAAGTATTGGAGAGTCCTGCAGGCAGTAGCTCCTCTATACTCCTGGCCAATGGGTTCATTAACAAAGCATATTTGGTAAGCGGCGTGACAACCTGTACACAGAGTTAAACACGGAGTGAGGCTATTTGGAAATAAAAAGTTACCTAAAAGTAACTTTTATGTGTTTGAAGTTCAGAGAAACACGCTCTAAATGAGGAGCTCTCATTTTCTCCTTGCATTACAATAGAGGCTCGAGGAGAATCCAGAGTTTGAAACTCACAGTTGTCCATAATGCAATTTTAGATCCAACCATATGTTGAGGTAAATTCAAAGTAATCTGTGAATTCGTTTCTTGACCGAACATAAGAAATCCCATGATTGCAGCACCACCGTATATAAGAACGCACAAAATAAAACTGTAAAACAGCAAACTTAATGGTTACAAAATGGGAAGTCGGGAACCAAAAGAAACTGCAATAATCAAATCACACGATTTAAATGGCGAAAAAAAAAAGCATAAAGTTGGCTCTATTACCATACTACAAGTGCTCTGATAAATTTGGTTTTATCGGCCATTGAATGATATATATTTGGGAAAACTGAATGTCCTGAATAGCAAAAACCATAGATGCCAATTGCAAAAGGAATGCCACTCCAATTTACCACTTGACCACTTGGATGAAATCCAATTCCCTCCGTGGTACCAATTAAGAGAAGACAAAGAACTAACAGAACTGTTGCTATCACACCGCCAGCTGCAAAAGGGTAAGTTACTAACTTTTTTCAGTAAAGCGTGGAAAAAAATAGCATATCCAACTATGGTACATTTTTACACTTTTTGAAGCTTAGCCAAACATGATTTAATAAAACAAATGAAGTAGCAGCAATGTGCCATAGAATACCTGAAAGGTACGAGATCAAGCGAAGATCTTTCAACCACACAGTTGGTAAAACAATAAGAGCGGTGAGAATTCCGAATAGATGTGTGGAGTCCAGTTGAAAACCCGACAAGTCAATAGATGTTCCAGGAAATAGCCGAGTAAGATTGTCCCCTTCCAAAGTAATAAATTCTACACAAGCCGTCTGCACTTGTGGAATAATCGTCAGTTTTACGCAAGGGTACTATATATAGGACCTATTACTGTGAAAAATCTTGAGAGTAAAGGCAGTTCACTTACATATAGCTCAGAGTACAAAATTATCTGCACCAAAATAAATAAGAGGAAGAAGAAGAAAAATGGTCAGCTAACTTATGCATAATACATAATTACATATTTATGAACTTACTGATACAAAGATGCGCCCGTATTTTCCAAATGCAGCTTCTCCCATGTCTGGAAAGGTCGAGATGCCTTCTTTACTTTCAAAGCAATGTTTCATAAGTATAGCAGTATAACAACAGACAAATGCAAAGAGAATAAGCACTGCTAAACTTGCCCATCCAGCTTCTTTAACTGTATATGGTGTAGAAAGAAGCCCAACTCCCGCCATTACATTGACACCTATTATATCACAAGACCAGCTCTTAATGACATGTTTGGTAAGGTAAATAAAACGGTACTTGATAGTTTGAAGAAAGAAAAAGTAGTTAAAATCATGTCCTTTGTATTATCTAGTACGGTCTAATAATGTACAGTATGCACCATTGAATATGGTTTGAACTAAGCTACATCCATGGCTAATAGGGAGTTCTCCATTCTGTTGCTCATTGAATGAAGCCATTTTTGACCATGATGAATGTGCTCTCACAATCCTGTCAATTTCTTCAGTTTGATGTATTTTCTTATCCTCTGTGAGCAGTGGTGCTTTTTCATTCAAGACCGGGTTACTATTATTATTGATGTCGCAACCTGAATAACCAGCACCATATACACCCCGAAGTGTTCCAAAGTTTGGTGATGCGGCGATTGTATAAAAATCAGTTGTTTCTCTGGAAAATGAAAGGAAAATTTTTTAAGCCAGTTATAAGATACAAAAGATCTAAAATATAAACATTTCTACTGTATCACATTGCTCTATATAATGGAGATTCCTTAAGTCTATTCAATCCGCGCCCAATAATCATACCTTAAATTTAGTAGTAGTCAAAAGCGACAAAATGTAAATTTGTTGCAGTTTTACTATGTAGGTTCAAATAAAATGCTACTTCTCATACTTGTTTTGCCTTTAGACCTCATAGGAGAAAGAGGCATTCATCATTGTAGAAAGGCCAACCAAGTGAACCTATAATCGTTGTCACCTTAAAAAGGACCATTGTTTCGAACATAACCTCTTTAGTGACTAAAGTATTTATCATTTTTAATTATTCTTGTTTTGACTAAATGTGCATCACATATATGCTGTCTTAATTCTACTTAATCTAAAATCTTTATGTTCTGAAGTGTTTCTCTAGAGCTCTAACTTATAATAATCTCTCCTAGTCTCACCTAAACTATGTGATCAAAATTCAAGAATAGCATCCACGGGACTTCGTCTTGAAAATATATTGTATGCTCATCCTTAGCCCGTATGGATCAAAGTTTTTTAAAACTCATTTTCAGTAGCATATCCTTCCAATAAAATAAATTTACATGCGGATCCATAACTTTTCTGTACTTTTTAACCACTCATTCTCCAAAAATAATAATAATAAATAAAATAAAAAATCACTTTTCACAAAATCGATCCTAAAAAAATTTACTATTGGAAATATTGAAGAGAAGGAGATGGAAACTTGAACAAGATGAAATGAAAAATGGCGCTTGAACACGTATATGATACGCTGCCCTAAAAATGATATTTGCCTCCTCTAGTATGGTTTTAGGATTTCCGACAAACAGTTTAGAGGATTGACAAGCCTTAAGGAAGAAGTATAAAAGCACAATTGATTCTTCCCAGATGAACTTTTTGAAAAGCTTAAGAAGTTAGATTTTTTTCCCTATGAATGAATTGGAATATCTCAAGTAATGATTTACTTGTTGCTTCTTTTTTTTAGGAATGAAAATCTATCATCCATTTATAGATTTCCATCCATATGCCTCGAACAAATTCCAAAAATTCATGAAAAGTTGGAAACTTTTCAAGAATCAACAACAGATTTCAAATGAAAAAACCAGCCCTAC